AATGGTCCCTCAGACAAGCTTCAAAACGCGAGGTGCCAGATCCAGCGGGTGGTATCACGGGGTCTGCTCACCTTAAAGTCTGGAGGAGGACTGATGTTTCCCCATTTTTATATCAAGTTCCCTAAACACTGTTCTGTGGTCGTCAGAAAATGTCAAATACGTCCGTGTATGTCAATATGTGTCGGAGATAAGTTCGATATAAGTTAGAGTATTTTCCGGGCCATTAGGCGCTCTGGATTATAAGGCGCACTGTCATGAAATGGTCTATTTTCGAACGTTTTTCACAAATAAACTGCACCGGATTTTAAACGAAGCACAACAGTGTGATGGGTGAGTGGTTTTGTTTGTTTGTTCGTTCACGGTGACTCTGGGCTTTGTTCAGTTGTGGCGTGTAGGGAGGGTGCTGTCTGGGACCAACGGATTGTCGGCGTGTTCGCAGTGACTCGGTTGTTCAGTCGTGTCTAGAAGCGGCACGTTGCGCTCGCTTTTTTCGGTTCGTTCCTCCGTTCCGTTCCTCGTCGGCGTGGAGTGATGAGTGTGTCTGTGGGTGTTTTTCGCGGCGCGGTCGCTGTCTGCTCCGTGTGTGTTTGCGTGCGCTGCGGGTGGTGCGGTTTTGTAGTCCGAGGGCAGTCGTTTTTTTGATGGGGTTGGAGGCTTAAGAGCGCGCCCTATAGCCCAGAAAATACGGTAAAATTACAACCATGTAACGCTCTTCTATTTCGATTTTGACGCAGTTTTGACTCAATTTTGACTCATTAGTTGGCCCAAAAAGAGCAGGACGAAAAAATGCCGTTATTGAATATTGTTATCAACTCTGACCACTGAAGAATCTGTATCATATCGGCCGATACCGACGCTGAAGCCAATATATTGCTGATGACGTACAGTAAAAAGTAGAAGTAAAAAGGCAGGCGGAAATCAGGTCTTAATCCGTCATTGTTCGATGCAGTTTTCCCACTCTGAAGTCCGTGTACTTTGTGTATTCTGCGTCCTCAGCCTGAGTACTTCACCGCTCCGTGTACCTCGGGGCTGCGATGCTTCCGTTGGACCCGGCTCGGACCTTTGTTTGTCCACAGCTGATTGTAGCGCGGCCATTGTCAGTGATCATGTTTGTATCAGCCCGTGTCAGATCCTAATCTCCGGCCGCTCTTTGATTCTATGGACTTTCCTGGAGCTCGATCAAAGCGCCGCTCTGTGCATCTCAGCTGTTCCGCCGCCTCAGCTCCCCGCCCGCTTATTCCTGTTATGAACGTTTGTCAAAGGGGATGTGTTACGCATGATGCTTTTGTACACTGCCACTTTGCATTTAGACAATACAGGCTCGGATATAATGTAAACTGGACCTTTAAGTACTTTTAAACATGTTCTAATTGTTTCTTCTCATATATTCACTTACAGTTATATTTTAAAGTGATCTGTACATTTTTGAGTCATTTTTCTTCTCCTGCATACTCCTTTTTTCCCTTAAATGATGACTATATAGCAGACAAAAGCATATTATGTCTTCAATAACTGCAGTTTTCTTTTTTTTTTTTCCTTTTTTTTTTGAAGCCCATCAAAATTTTGACAACTACTCTCTAATCTCAGATCAGCAAATTTTCTCTGTGGAGTTTGGTTGATCGGGTTCTTCTTTCACTGAGAACAACAGAAAAAAGTGCATGGCATAAAACATCTCAAAAATATCTAAATATTGATATATTGTATGATTTAATGTATGTGATGATATTTTTTGGTATATTTTACTAAATTATTTAGTTACAGAGCTACAGTTTTGTTGCTTGTTTAGAGGAAGGAAACTCGTTTATGCGACACATTTGACATTTTCACTTTTTTGATGATTAAAATGTTTGTGTTTCATATGAACTTTGCACAAGAAGTGGTTTAACCAAGACTTTTAGTGTCACAGCCATGATTTAGTCTTTATTATTATTGAACCGAATCAAATCATCTGAAATATATCGTATCAAATTGAAAGAGCACTGTATCGAGGTATCGTGCTAACATACATGAACATTCACACAGACAGTGGCTCCCTCTTTTCTGCTTCACTCGAGGAAAAACAAAAACAAAAAATCATATTGGCAACTTCTTAATGATACCAGCCCTAAACATCTCTGTGTACAAGGTTGGTTACTGTTTCCATGTGTGCAGGTGACACACTAACATAAAAGTACACACTGTCCTGTCTCAAACATAAAGGGACACCTGCAGTAGCACCTCTGGGTGCACTGTGGTGCTGTGTACAAAAAACCTACTGTAGCATGTGGGCTGACAGTGAATCCCTGACCCTAACCTGAAGGACGGTCCTGACAAGTTCTGTCAGTGTGTGTGTGTGTGTGTGTGTGTGTGTGTGTGTGTGAGTGTTGGTGCTGGGAGCAGAATCCAGCACCTCCGACCCCGTCCCGACAGTGAGTCCTGGTTCAGTCCTGGAATCAGTCCTGGGTTCAGTCCTGGTTCAGTCTGTGGCGTGTGTGGTGTAAAAGTGGAGCAGTTCGATCAGTGTTTCTTCTGCTCAGTAAATAAAGCCTGTGAAGTGACGACAGTCAAGTCGTGTCTGTGAATTTGTATTCGTACTGAAGAAAGTGAAACTGTTTCATTTTGTGATTGTAATTCTTGAAGTCGTAACTTTTCAATTCGTATTCTGATGGATGCTTCAGTTACAACGCTTTTAATTTGTGTGTGATTTATTTATGTGCATATGTCTTATCAGAACACCTCATTTTACACGGTGATCTGAAAAATAACTCCAGTGCCCGATCATAAGGGACCTCCTCGGGTTCTGGCACTTTTATTGCGCGGGGTGAGCCCAGGCCAGGACCACGCCGGGTTTCTTTATGGTTCTGAGTGTCGGGACGGGACGGGAGTTGTACGGCCGCATAAACCGTTGGGTAACCGCAAGCGAAAGGAGTGGAGCAGAACCTGGCGCCTGATCGCACTTTGTGGACACGCTGCTCCGTGGGCTCAGGCTCAAGGTCCCGTCTCTCTCTCTCTCTAAACTTTCAAACATGTACAGGACTATGGGCTAAATAATGTTTTCAAGCGACAGCAGTTACAAATCTGTTCACATCGCACTCTCACCAGGGTTCCCACGGTCATTTTCTAGGCCTGGAAAAGTCATGGAATTTTAGGATCTCTTTCACCCAATTCCGGAGTTCTGTTAAGTTCTCATTAGACTATTCTGATTATTTCTGAACGTCTGCGGCTTTTGTTTAAAGAGACGACAATAAATACACTGACAGTATTTTGAATGTTAACTCTTTCCCTCTTGGACGGCGACTAGGAACAACCCAGACATACATGACTAGAGCTGCGCATAGAACATAAAAGTATAAAAGAAAACCGACTTCCACGAGTGATTATAAATGATTTTTACACTCATGAACTTAATTGTAACACAGACATATTTGTATCTCTGGAAACCTTAGACTCTGAACTCTTCATTTATGGATGTTTAAATGTGATTCAACTCATTTACAGGTTTATAACAGCTCACTGAAAATGAGAGTTTACCTGCTCAGGTGCAAAACAAAAAACTACAGCATCTCACATCTGCATGTTCTGAGTCCTATATTCATAAAAACAAATAAAAATATATTTGTCAAAGTATTTAAACAGATTTCATATCACCAGATATTCAACTTATTTAGCTGATTATAATCAGTGTTGGGAAGGTGACTTTTAAAATGTATTCCCCTACAGATTACAGATTACATCCCCCAAAATGTAGTTTGTAACGTAATCCATTAAATTACTTAAAGTGAGTAATGTAACCTGAATACTTTGGATTACTTGATTTGCCGTATTAAAAATATTATTGATAGAAGAAGAGGAGACACGTCCACGCAGCATGATTTAGTCCTGTTAAATCCTGTTTTAGACCTGGTTTAGTCCTGGTTTTAGTCCTGGTTTAGACCTGTTTTAGACCTGGTTTTAGTCCTGGTTTAGTCTTGGTTTAGACCTGTTTTAGACCGGATTTAGGCCTGGTTTAGTCCTGGTTTAGTCTTGGTTTAGACCTGGTTTAATCCTGGTTTAGACCTGTTTTAGACCTTGTTTAGAACCGGTTTAGCTCTAGTTTAGACCTGGTTTTAGTCCTGGTTTAGTCCTGGTTTAGGTTTTAGAACTGGTTTTAGACCTGGTTTTAGATCTGTTTTAGACTGGATTTAGGCCTGGTTTAGTCCTGGTTTAATCCTGGTTTAAACCTGGTTTTAGACCTGGTTTTAGAACCGGTTTAGCTCTAGTTTAGACCTGGTTCCGGCAATGAGTGGAATTACCGAGAAAAAGAAAAAAAAAAAAGAAAAAAAAAACAAATGGGATACAGCCCAAAATGTGAAAACGGAAAAACAGGAAAATCCCGCAGTGTAATCCATTTATTTCAACAAAGTAACTGTAATCCAATTACCACTCACTGAAACAGTAACTGTAACTGAATACAGTTACTCATAATTTGTACTCTGATTACGTAACTCTGGTACATGTAATCTGTTACTCCCCAACACTGGTTATAATATAATAATATAATAATAAAACTCTTCCTGTCAGTGTGTGTTCAGTATTTGTCATCTTGGTTATTTTCTCGTGCACAGAGCTACGCAAAAGTGTTTGTTTCTGTAGTGATTCTGTCATACGTCACATCTTGGGAAAAAAGACTGAAATATTTTAAAGGGCTAGTCTGAGAAACATCCAGATTTTAGGGACTATTTTGGTTCATAATCGAGTATAAAGCTCAGATAGTTTGTTCAGATATCGCAGGACTCCACACAGACGCATCACCGGCATTTTCACCTTCGTAAGTTTCGTAAAACTATAAAACCAAACCATAAAGTGAGTGGAAATTGTTAACATTTCATATTTAGCCTAAAAGTCTGATCAATTTTACACATGTAGGTGCCGTAAAGTCATGGAAAATTCACTTTAGGTCCTGAAAAAGTTTTAGAAATTTTGTGAAAAAGAGTGGGAACCTTGTCTGACAAACCACTTTCTTGTCGTTTGTGTGTGCGCAGGTTCGGCCCGGGCCTCGTCATCTACTGGTACGGTTTCATCTCGGAGCTCGACTGCCAGCGCGACCGCGGCATCATGCTCACGGAGCGCTTCCCCGGGGACATCGTCACCCTGTACCAGGCGGGTCAAACGCACGCCCACGCCCACGCCCGGCCCGGAGGTGAACCCGGGTCCAGCCAGCCCGATCCTCAGTGACAGACGAGGGGATGAATGGGAGGAAGGAGAGAGAGAGGGGAAGAGGAACACTTAAGTCGGCACCATGCAAATCCGGAAGCAATTTGGATTTCCTGACGGGAGACGTACACGCAGACACACAGAGACACGGAGAAGGGACGACGGCCAAAAGATCTGAGCGAACTTCCAGTGAACCGGGCTCTCCGTCTGACCCCCGAGCCCCGGATTGTACTGGTTTATTGGGAAATCTAAGACGGAATGTTCATATCAGCAAAAGGAACATAAACTAGAACGTAAACATGTTTTGTTTTGGTTTACAGCGTTTAAAACCTGCCACGTGGAAGCAGTGTTGGGAAGGTGACTTTTAAAATTAAGATTACAGATTACACACCCCAAAATGTAGTTTGTAACGGAATCCATTAAATTACTTGAGGTGAGTAATGTAATCTGAATACTTTGGATTACTTGATTTGATGTAGAGAAGCAAAGACGAGGAAATCTTCACATAAGATGTTCTGTCTGCTTAAAGAAAATAAAAATCCCAGACTTTACTGAACCACATTAAAAATATTATTGATAAAAGAGGAGGAGACACGTCCGTCCAGCTTGGTTTAGTCCTGTTAAATCCTGTTTTAGACCTGGTTTTAGACCTGATTTAGATCTAGTTTAGACCTGGTTTTAGACCTGGTTTAGACCTGCTTTAGATCTAGTTTAGACCTGGTTTAGACCTGGTTTTAGTCCTGGTTTAGACCTGGTTTAGACCTGGTTTAGACCTGGTTTTAGACCTGGTTTAGATCTAGTTTAGACCTGGTTTAGACCTGGGTTTAGACCTGGTTTAGATCTAGTTTAGATCTAGTTTAGACCTGGTTTAGTCCTGGTTTAGACCTGGGTTTAGACCTGGTTTAGATTTAGTTTAGATCTAGTTTAGACCTGGTTTAGATCTAGTTTAGACCTGGTTTAGACCTGGGTTTAGACCTGGTTTAGATCTAGTTTAGATCTAGTTTAGACCTGGGTTTAGACCTGGTTTAGACCTGGTTTAGACCTAGATTTAGTCCTGGTTTAGTTTCCGGCAATGGGTGGAATTACCAAAAAATAAAAAATAATAATAAAAAAATATTAAAAAGCTCAAATAGCTCAAAATGCAAAAACAGGAAAATACCACCATGTAATCCATTTATTTCAACAAAGTAACTGTAATCCAATTACTACTCACTGAAACAGTAACTGAATACAGTTACTCATCATTTGTACTCTGATTACATAACTCTGGTACATGTAATCTGTTACTCCCCAACACTGCGTGGAATCACTCTGAAACGTCGGCTTTTTCGCTCGATTTTAATGCATCATTTTGACTAAATAAGATTAAATTTTGGATCTAGAAAGTGCCAGAGTAAAGCTTTAATTAATGCGTCTTTTATTTATTCATTCGTAAGTGTTTTATTGGTCAAAACTCTATTGAAAAACCTTAATTCGTACAGTGAGCGGGGCCGCCTCTCCACGGATCTGACCTCTAACCGGCGGCATCACCATGGAGATGAGCGTAAAGCCACACTGCGGAACATTCCAGGCCAAGCAATACCAATCAGAAAAGTTATAGTGCTAAATTTGGACAGATTTAAAACAGATTTTTTATTTTTTTCTGATTGTCGAATGGACTTTACGGATGTATTTTTCATTTCTTGCACTGTGGAGTTTGTTTTTTCTGATTTGATTTGAATGAATTTGAATAAAATACTGGTCCTACCTGAGGCTGTGCGATTATTTGAATTCTGATCGCGATTTTGATTTGTGTGCCAAACGATCTCCAAACTCATATAATAGAGTTGAAATGAATATTCATTTTGGACACATTTATATTTTTCTATGTCTTATTTCATGTTCAAAGTCTATTTTATTCATTTTATATTTTATACATCACAAAACTGATCTAAGGTTCATGTTTGTAGGCTATATTTATTTTCAATTTGAAAGTTTTGCAAATAATTGTCTGAATAATCGTGATTTTTTCCATAATCGAGCAGCTCTTGTCCTACCGTTTATTTTCATGTTAAAAAAAATATTTGATATAACTTTAACTGATTTTTACTGTCCCAAAAACGTGAAAAACAGAATTTGTTTTCTAAGCTTTCAGTGACCAGAGCAGAGTTTTGACAGTGTAGTTGATGATACTAAAGTTAATAACTTTTAACAAACTTTATTGATCCACAAGGGAAATTATTGGGACAAAGCAGCTCGTACGTCACAATATAATAATAAAAAAGAGTAAAAAAAATATATAAATGGTAATAATAAATTCTAAATAAGTAGCAAAAAAGAGCAAGAGATTGAAATAAGGCACAATAAGGCTGCGTTCAGACTGCAGCCTGAAGTGACCCAAATCTGATTTTTTGGCCCCTATGTTCCTGTATCTGATCTTTTAATGACAGTCTGAACCACACAGATCTGATTTTTTTCAAATGTGACCCAGGACACTTGGATATTTGCTCCTGAAACCGATACATATCTGATCTTTTGACATGTGACTTCAGTGTGAACGGCCAAAGCGCATTCATCCACCTACACGTTATCAACAAGACACAAACGTCACTATTCTGAGCTGAAGTAGGTGAAAATCATTAATGAACTCCGTGTCACTGAAGTGAAGCACATCACCACTCACCACTCTTGGCTCCGTCTCCACATCCACACGTTCCTTTCAACGGACGTCGCTGCCGCTGCCCCACAAAACACCACGACCAAAAACCTCGTCCTTCTCCTTCTCAATCTCCTCCTTAAAACAAGTAAGTTGTTCATGTTCTGGCTCTGGTACGAGAGGAACTTTAAAATCTCCAGGTGCTCGATGCTGCGTCCATGTTTGGACAACTTCTGTAAACACAGAGACGCTCGCTGCGGTTGACGTCGTCGTGTCTCCAGTGTCACATGTGGGACACTTTTGGTCTGTTTAATGTTCACACTGGAGTCACATACAAGTCACATTTAATTGGAAATGTGAACGACCTCGCAAAAACATTGGATTTCACAAAAAAATCTGAATTGAGCGTTAAGCCCTGCAGTCTGAACGTAGACATAGATGTTTCACATTCGAGCTGCACAAATCTATATATTTAGGCTAATATCTACGTCAAGGGCGTCGAACTCAAATTCACAGAGGCAAAAATTAAAAACTGGGACTAAATCTTGGGCCAAACTTAATTTTTTTGAAAAATTTCAACAACTTCTGCATGTTTTCTCTTCTTTCGAGATATGTAATGTTAAACCCTTTTCTTATTAAAATCAATGTTTAATAATAGTTTTGCTTAAACATTGAATCCAGAACAAGCAGAATATAAAATAATAACAACATTTTAAATAAATAATGTCTCTATAGACATGTTAAAATTGACTCTCACAGAATCAAATTTAACATTTTCTCAGAGTTTATTTGAGTCCAATCTGTTCTAGAGTTAATTTAACATTTTTGGAAATGTTAATTAAGTAACACTGGACCAAAGTTCCTGTTTAACCCCGAAATCCAGAGTTATTTTAACGTTTTGAGAGTAAACAGATAACACTTTGTACAGTTCCTGATTTAGCTAAACAACACACAGAGGTGTTTAATTTTATTTATACTTTATTTTAGTTAATTTAAGATGAAATTATGAACAAAACTGGTTCAAACTGCTCTTCTCTCACAAGAGTTTGAAGTGGTGAACGGGAGGAGCCAAATTAACACTAAGAAAAGATGAATTAACCTCAACCACATCAACTCTGTCAAATAAACCCAACTCGAACTCCCATTTAACTTTCAAAGAGTTAAAATGACACTTTTGGTGTTAAAAAACAACTCTGAAATATTTTAGCCTAAAATTTTAACCCTCCAGTTTTTGCTGTGTGGCCGTTCGCCTTTAAAGGTTCATCTTTCTTATCTTGATAGTTGTTGAGTGTTGAGACGAGGCGAGACGTTTCCACAGACATTTTGCCACAGAAAAACAATAACCAGAAGTTCCTCAAACCCACTTCCGGCCGTTGTGAAAAAGGTTCATTGTGGACTTTCACAAACAACAAAACCAAAATATTTTTTAAAGAGTTATGGTTGTTCTGGTGTAATGTTTCATAAATCTACCACTTGTTGACATCACAAGGAGGAACAGAGCATTTTCAGCTTTGGAGATGAAGACAGACTGTAACGAACGGCCTGTTTAATTACACGTGCACTTTCATTCACTTTGCACTTTATATATATTTATTTATAGCACGCAGCACTTATAAGATACGCTAATTTGCACATATTAAGAATTGCACACGTTTGTATTGTTTTAAAAATATATATATTTATTGAAAACTTCAGCGGGTGTCACGTGGGCCGGTCGGACGGGCGCTTCCGGGTTTGGCGGTCGCCGGTCTGCGGAGATACACCAGAACATTACAGTTTCATATCGTGCAAAATATGTGCTGCATTTTAAATGAGTTGTGTGTTGTGTGTGTTTGCGTGTGTGTCATGTGGATATTTTAGAGTGAGAGTGGGATGTGTGTGCATGTTTGTTATTGGTCAGTGCTTTTACGTACCCGTGTCTTCTGTCCACGTGTCCGGCTAAAAGATTCCCCGGGGAACCAGACACCTTTTAAGAGTTCCTGGCCGACTCACCACGGCCGACATCAGGGGGAATGGCACTCGCTTTTAATTGGGATATTCACGTTGGGTTTTATTAGGAATTAGTTTTAGGGTTTTAGTATTACCTCCGCCAAGGAGGTTATGTTTTTGCCAGCGTTTGTCTGTTTGTTTGTTTGTTTGTTTGTTTGTCTGTTAGCAACATAACTCAAAAAGTTATGGACCGATTTTGATGAAATTTTCAGGATTTGTTGGAAATGTGCAAAGGAAGAACTGATTTCATTTTGGGGCTGATCCGGAAGAAATCCTGGATTCTGGATCACTTTGAAATTTTAGTTAACATTGTGGTAAATGGGGCCAAAAATTTTGTTTCTCAATATCTGGGTTAATTATTGACCAAACCCCATGAAATTTGACTCAGGGATGGACAATGGGATCCTCTTTCATATTCCAAATTGAAAGATACGAGACAAATATTTATGGAAAACACAGTTAACATGAGGGGGACTGTAGTCCTTGGCGGAGGTCTGCGCTCTCTGACTGCTTTTCTAGTTATTTTTGTATTTGGGTTTTATATGGTTTATTTGGTTATGGGTATTTTATTGGAGGATTTGAACTTAGTTTTATACAGCTGAGGTTATTTTACACCCCTTGGAGTTTTAATGGTTTTATCCAGTGGTACATAAGGCGCCTGATTAGATCATTCTATGTTCTGCTGCTCCATATCCTCCCTGCACTTTTTGCACCGCACTTTGTTTTCACTTGTTGCACTTTGGCACTTTTGGAATTTTGGAGAAAAGAAATTAAAAATTTGTGGACCACACTAAACCTGCCTCCATCATCTTTTCTGGTGTTTCTCACTGCAATCCAGCCGCTACCCGTCCTGGTCACACAGACTAATAATAAAGAGTTACTCAAACATGTGTGAATGAAACAAAACACAACTCCAGGTCTGTTTTTTGAGGAGATAAAAACATTCCTACATGACTAAAAGCTCACATAAGTTAATTTTACGTAATACTGGACCTTTACAGACACTTCCTTCCAAACTGCGTGTGTCCCGTGAGCGCCGGTGTCTCTTTTCGTGATAAACAGCCGTGAGAAGAAGCACGGATCCAAAATGTCCTCCATTGTTGCCGGTGTCCACGTCGTGCGCAGGTTTTTAGTGTTTTTGGCTCGACGCGTTTCCACGAATTGAAAGTTCACTTCTCGTGTTCAGTCGGGTGTCAGTGCGCTGTGTACGCGGCCGTTACAAATGCGTGTCACCGGGTTTAGTCTTGTCAAAATGTCAAATGTCCATTGTTGGGAAGCGGTAACTACGGCGACCAATCATTTTTGGAAATTTTCGTGTTTGTTTTTTTTACAATTTGTGTCTTGAAAAGTGATGAGAAACTTACAAAATCAGATGTTACAGCTTGTTTCTGTATTTAAAGTTTTCGATCCATTTTCCATTTTTTTCAATCTCCATGGAGACGAGACTGAACGCCACCAGGTCATGTTATGGGTCAGATCTGTGAAGAAGCAAGCTCGTTTTTTTTATGTAATTTTGAGCAATTAAAAAAACAAAAAAAAAAAAAAAAAAAAAAAAAAAAAAAAAAACACGATTGAAATTAAACTGAATACGTATTTGATAAAAATGTTTAATGTCATAGTGTGGAACATTCTTGGCAAAATTAACGCAGGCACAGTCAAAGCTTGACGTGGTGTAAACTCAACCAGAAAAGTTTCGCAGTGCTTCTTTAACTTGACCAATTATTATTATTTTTTTAAATAATATCTTGAAATTAAAATATGTGTCATGAAGATGTTTTTAATTATAAAAACAATAAAAAAAAAAAAATTAAAAAAAAATAAATAAATTAAAAATAAAGTCGATTTTTCTTTCTGTTCTTTTTTTTTCAATGAAGGCTGAAATTTAAAGCTGGATTGTGTAACTTTCCTTCAATACTTTTCTCCATGGAGATGTTCTTTCTTTGTCTTCCTGAAGACCTGAAGACCAAGTTACAAGTCAGATCTGTGGAGAGGCGACCCTGCACACAGTCAGAATGTTCTTTTTCTACATATTTTTGAGCTCTAAAACCACCTGTAATTGAATAAAGGTACAGTATATGTTCCAAGGACCCAGGACACACTGGAGGGACTGTGTCTCTGGGCTGGCCT